GGAGGAGGCCTCGGGGAAGACCCAGGACACGTTGGAGAGACTATGTCTCTCGACTGGCCTGGGAATGCCTGGGGGTCCCCCCGGAGGAGCTGGAGGAGGTGTGTGCGGATCGGGAAGCCTGGGCAGCTCTGCTCAGGCTGCTGCCTCCGCGACCCGACCCCGGATAAGCGGGAGAAGATGGATGGATGGATCTGATTACTTATTTGTCAGAACTTGTTGAGAAATGTTTTGATTTCATGTCCACGCTACTCCTCCAAATTGTCTGAATCCACTTAGTTTCTCTTTGACAAACCTGCTTTGTTTCATCCAACAATGAGTCTGAATCGTACTTCCTGGCCTGCAGGGTTTTCCTCCACAGTACGGCGGTCCAGCATATGGACAACAGCCGTACCCGATGGCCCAGCAGTACCCACCTCAGCCCGGCACCGTCACTGTCCAGCCCACGGTGTTTGTGTCTGCGGGCCCTCTGGCCAACCCTGTCAACGACTACCTGGGCTACTCCATCTTCACCCTGCTGTGCTGCTTCTGGCCGCTCGGGGTTGCCGCCCTCGTCTACTCCATCTCAGTGAGTTTCTTTAGGTTCTTTGTCAACTCTGGTGCGCTGACACCGATACACGTTGCAAAGTTTCTACCAGAACCAGATCCATGTCAACTGAACAGGGTTGCAGCCTGCATCATACCTCTGTGTTGTTTTACATTGTTGTTGTTGTTTTTAAGGCAACAACATTAGAGGCCTTTTTTGATTGCAGTGATGTAATTTTGAGATTTTGGGATGTTTTGCTTCCATAATGGGCCTTCTTTCAGACCAATGGAACATCCAACATTCAAAATGCACGTTTAGGTGTTTATTTTGCTATATTGTTGATTTAAATTATAAAACATATCCTAAATGGCTGTTTTCTCACACAAAAATATTCTCATTGCCTGCTAGAAATCTCCACCTCAGCAGAACCTACCCGCACCAAACTTTCTGATTTTATTCTTATATATATTTATCTATATAGTTTTTTCAAAGGGGGTATATCATTCATAGCCTGATTTCTAGAACATTTTATTCCTAAAAACACGGCAGATATGGATCTTTTCTTCCTGGTTATTGACAGTATTTTATGATTTACAGTATGTCATGATTCTAAATCAATCAATCAATCCTGTCTGGAAAACCCTTTGACATTAAACTGTCAACAAAATAAAAGAAAAACTCTGATGCTGGCTTCATCCAGTATCACATTTCTGTCCTGGAAATCATTGAAAATTGCAGCATTTTAGATGAATATTACTTCATTTCCGTCGTAATCATAACCATAAAATTTCTGAAAACTTGAAATACAAAAACGAAAATGATTGTCTTTTTGAACATAATCAGCCGGGGAGGTTTTATAGTGATATTTATTAGTTTAAAATTCTACCCTATTGCCTTCATCATAATAGAGAGAGAGAGATTATATTAAAAACAGCATAAATAGCTTTAATAAATGCCCTGACCAAAAAACTGGAATAATCCAAAAGAGGACAGTGGCTCGCTTTTCAAAATAAAAGCCATAAAGTGACGTTGCTGCCACAGAGTGAATTACTGCAGATAACAAAAGATCATTTCAGTAGGACAGATACTGCAGTGGTAGTACAGTGGACTCATGACTGACCTCTTTTCAGCTAAATCTCTGTCACAGTAGCAACAATACAAATCGTAGCTGCAGAAAAGATAATGGGGGAAACAGAAAAACCCCCCATTGTACACATGAAGAGGCAGGATTTAGTCAAGGCAACATATTGACCATTTCTTACTTTGACGTCAGCGCTGAGCTCTGCTTGGAAGAAATTGGTGTTAATTTTCAACCCTCATAAATAATCGAGTTCCAGGTTTGGATGAGGAAGTAAATTAAAATGCTCTGAAGCGAGGAAGCCGGGAAGAGAAGAGGAAGAGGAAGGATCATGTCTGCCAACAAACGGAGCCTCGATTTTGTGTTGTTCAGAAAACTCAGATCAGCGATAGAGATTTAACTGAGCTGAAAAGATCATGGCAGCAAACTTGAAACATCCATCTGTCCATCCATTATCTATACACCACTTAATCCTCAATAGGGTCGCAGGGGGCTGGAGTCTATCCCAGCTGACTTAGGGTGAAGGCAGGGGACACCCTGGACAGGTCGCCAGTCTATCACAGGGCTACACTTAGAGACAGACAACCAAGCACACTCACATTCACGGACAATTTAGAATCACCAATTAACCTCAACATGTTTTTGGACTGTGTGAGAGGAAACTCCACGTAGAAAGATATCTGTTGTGACCACCATTTCCCTCACGCAGTGCAACACATCTCCTTCGCATAGAGTTGATCAGGTTGGTGATTGTGGCCTGTGGAATGTTGGTCCACTCCTCTTGAGCTGGATATTGGCAGGAACTGAAACACGCTGTCGTTCACGCCAATCCAGAGCATCCCAAACATGCTCAATGGGTGACTGTCCAGTGAATATGTTGGCCTTGCAAGAACTGGGATGTTTTCAGCTTCCAGGAATTGTGTACAGATCCTTGCAACATGGTGCCGTGCATTATCACGCTGCAACATGAGATGATGGTCGTGGCTGAATGGCACAGCAATGGACCTCAGGATCTGGTTACGGTATCTCTGTACATTCAAAATGCCGTCAATAAAATGCACCCGTGTTCATTGTCCATAACATATGCCTGCTCATACCATAACCCCACCACCATGGGCCACTCTATTCACAACATTGACATCAGCAAACCGCTCATCCACACAACGCCATACATGCTGTCTGCCCTGCCCTGTGTAATGTAACATCTGCGGCATTGTGCTGTGTGATACAACTGATACACTGATAAACCATTTTACAGTGGCCTTTTATTGTGGCTAGTCTAAGACTAACCTGCAGAGGCTGCAGGGTGACTGGAAGAGCTGATCTGCTTGGCACTGAGTAAAACTTTGGGTTATGAGGATATAAGCCTGCCATTGTCTGCTTAGTTCAGTCAACTTTATGTTTTTCAAAATTACCCTGGCTACAGGAAACAACTACAACCTTCAAGCAGCAACCTACACACTGAAAATGGTAAAATGAGGACTACAGGATTAGCTTCTCCTCAGATCTCTACATGAGCATGGCAGGAACCTTAATACAAATCTGGACAGCATAGCTTTGTTTTTAATCATTAACAGGAATGGCAAATTATAATGAATGTCATAAAAACAACTTCTGTTTAATCGATAACAGGACTACGTGAGTCTTACATTTAGCTCATCTTTCTATCAAATCTGATGTTACTACAGTTGTGGGAGCAGAACATTTCGTGAAGGCATCTCTGATTCCATCTCGCAGGTGTGATGCAGGTGTTAACATGTTTTCTGGCCATCAGTCAGTCGGAGTTGTTTCAACACATTTTTACTCTGGAAGCGTCGCATGCTACTGACACTGACTTGACCAACATGCTGATCATTTCCATGATGTTCTGGGAAGTAATAAAGCTTTGCAAGAAGCACATACTGGTTGCTTATCAGTGGTTTTTATGAGTCCAGTAAGCTCCTCCAGAACTCAAGTACAGGCAGGCCTCACCTGCTGAGCACCGACTGGCGAATTACGTCTGTCTCTTTCATTAGTAGAGAAGATCATTACTACCTACTTAAGTGGAGCAATGGGTGCAAGTAAAAATGATGAAGGACCCAGACAGGATCCCTGTGGAACTCCGCAGGTGAGTGGGACTATTTAGAAAGATACCCCACCAATTTCTACTGAGAAGGATCTATTTGAGAAGTAAGAAACAAACCATCCATTGTAGAGCCACGTCACTGATACAAGACTGAGGAGAATCAAAAGAGAGTAAAGACCTAGATTTGAGGACAGCCGTCGGGGATTAGTGACTCTAAAGAGGGCGGTCTCGGTGTAATGACGACATTTTTTTAGAAATCTTTAAAGTCTTCATCTTAAAAACAAAATTACTAAAAACACTAGGGTCAAGGGGGGACAGTGGCATGTTTAAAATGTTAAGGATAAGGAGTTATTTATGATAACTAAAACACTTAGACTTACTGTCTCAATATTTTGCTTTAAAAAAAACATGGAACATCTACTAGTTGAAATTCCATTAAAATAAAAAACAGAAAATAAACCTTGAAATACTTGAAATGCCTTTAAACCTAAGGGGCGAACCAAATCCTGAGTGGTCAGGGCACATATCACATGTTTAAAAATGCCCTCAGCAGCCGAGTCCCCGATTCAAGTCCCAGCCGGCCAGATCATTGCTGCATGTCGGTCCCCGGCTCGCATTTCCCACATTTCATGTCTGTCTGAAACTAAAACGGTCCAAAAAAGGGGGAAAAGTCTTTAGATGTAAGAGGCAGTGTTTGATTGTGAGATGACTGTGTGTTAATTATGCACAGCCATGAAGACAGTTTTTTTTTAACACGCAAGCCAGACAGCTGCTGGTAATCATGACCTGCTTAACAGCCGCAAACATGGCCTCTCACAACATCTGCAAAACACACAAACACACATCCAGTCATTCGCACGCGCTCAGACTTATTTAGATACACAAAGAGACGTAATAGAGGTGTGAGTTGGAGTTTTATTTGATAAGGAAAGCACTTTGAGCTGCATTTTCTCTACCAAAGATGCTGTAAGACGGTTCTCTCAAAATGTGGCAGCTCTTTTCGTTCACACTCAGATTAAACAGGATAATGGTTTATGATATTTCCAGTTTAGTATCCATCTTTTTCATTTCTTTTTTTAATCAAACCATCTCTGTATGTCCCTTTATGGATAATCTTCTCAATACTGTGGTGCACTTTAACTGTCATACATGCTTGAGCTCATCTGAAAACTTCACACTGCAGAGCTTTTTGAAAAGTGTCAACAAAGACGGGATTTTAACTGAATCCACCCGCTTTGTTTGTATTATGAAAAAAAGAAAGATGTGTCTTGACATGTTGTATCCTGAAAGAAAAATTTGCTTTGTAAGTCTCACACATTACAGTCTAACCAGAGTACAGTATTTTTTACTTTCAGTTCCTATTCAGGGTTTGCAAATGCCGGAACTGTGCATATCAAAGTGGCCAATTTGGTAGTTTGGTTTCAGGAAGGTAAACTCTTTCTGCACCTTTGACTCCACTACATATGATAAAGGCATTCCTACTGATTTACAGTGATGTACTGCCATGATTATGTCTGTGAAAGATGACTGTCTTACATGTGTGTTTTTAGAAATCTCCATTCAACAACATTGCGCTGTTATAGAGGTGACTTTACAAACTTAAACACATAGACTGTATAGGCTGAAGTAACTCAGTCATGCTCTTCCACTGAGCCAAGCGTACAGTTTTCCTCTTATGTAAGGTGTTTATTTTTTATGTGCCAACAATCCCACTGAGACAAATCAACATTTTAGTGGGAGTTTGAATGGGGTTTGTTCTTTCAACACTGTGTGTTTTCCCCAGAAATCTTTACAGCAACCAGAGACATTCTACTTTAAGTATCAGTCATATATACAGTGCTGAGAAAAAAGTATTCGCCCCCTTCTCAAATTCTTATTTAAAAAAACCAAAACTGCATTTTGTGTTTACTTTGGTTTTCTTTGTCTAATGTTTAAATTTGTTTGATGATCTTAAACATTTAAGTGGAGGAAATATTTTTTATAAAAATTGATTTCGAGAAGGGGACAAACACTTTTTCACAGCACTCTATCTTTGCATCAACAGTCCATGACTTCATCTTTGTGAAAGGTGTCACTCAAACTGACAGACCAGCAGAGAGCTTATAGCTCATGGACCAAAAACAGAGTTAAAAGAGAGACAATATTGGACTTACGAATTTTTTCATTTAGTACACTTAAGATTGCTCTGAGGTTTCTGGTAGACTAGGATTTTCTTCCAAACTTGAAGAGAAAATTTCTTGATGTTAATGTATAAAACATCTTAGTATTCATATTTCCATTCATATGGCTCTGACAGCAGCTAAATGTTTTTCCTAAAATTAAGTAAATGCCATTTTTGAAGCGATGCTGACAAAAACCACGGGTGTGTTAAGATTTGTTTGTCCAACTGTCTGTTAAACTATTAACTGATTAAAATTATTAACAGATTGCATTCTAATCTTGTATAAAAACAACAACATGCATATCACCATCTTAAATAAGAAATTGTCAGTTTAGGGAGAGCAGAAAGAGGAATTGGTGTCAACAATGTCTTCATGTAAGATCGAATTCCTCTAAAAATGTTAAGTCCTAAAATCATTGTGAAATGTTATACCACACAATATATTTAAAATTTAGGCAGCTTAAAGTTTATAAAGAGTTCCATCAGCAGACTTTGCTATTTGGGAAACTGCATTTTGCTCCAAACAATTCATCAAATAAAGATACAGGACTGTGGAACAACAGTAACATTACTGTCAACCATAAGAGTATACAGTATATACAGAGAGCTGGATTAAATGAGGAATGAAGTCATCTCTACAGCCATGACTAGTTTCTAAGAGGCTTATCTGTTCTACTCAAATATGAAAAAATGTTTCTGTAATAGAAGCTGCTATTACAAATGGTATAACTGAGTTAATGATGTGTTATGTAGGCTTTGAAAAACTACTAATGTTTGAGTGCTTTGTTAAAGATAAGATAAGATAAGATATGCCTTTATTTATCTCACAGTGGGGACATTGACATTGTTGTCAGCAGCAGTACACACAGATACACACACACTAGACAGAAAAATGTACATATAAGAAATACTGCAAACACAAGTATAAAAGTACACATATAAAAGGAGAATAGTGCAAACATAGAATATAAGAACGGGGATATATAGAAAAGACATACATGCATACATACATACATACATACATACATACATACATGCATATTGCACATTGTGGGTCTACTGAGAGCATAGCTGGTTGTAGAGTCTCACAGCAGAGGGGAGGAAGGACCTGTGGTACCTCTCTTTGGAGCAGCGTGGATGAAGAAGCCTGGCACTGATGGAACTTTCCAGGGCTTTTACAGTCCAATGGTATGGTAAGAGTGGGAGGTATTGTCCATGATTGATGACAGCTTTGTCATCATCCTCCTGTCACCTACCACCTCCACAGGATCGAGACTGCAGCCCAGGACGGAGCCGGGCTTCTTCATCAACTTGTTGAGACTCTTCCTCTCAGCTGCTGTGATGCTGCTGCTCCAGCAGACCACACCATAAAAAATGGCTGACGCCACCACCGAGTCATAAAAAGTCCTTAGGAGGCCTTCTGCACACCGAAGGACCTCAGTGTGCGCAGCAGGTGAAGTCTGCTCTGGTCTTTTTTGTGCAGAATCCGAGTATTTACAGTCCAGTTCAGGTTGTTGTTCAGGTGAACACCCAGGTACTTGTAAGAGTCCACTATCTCAATGTCCAGTCCCTGGATGTTCACCGGAGAGGGAGGGGTGATTTTGTGCCAGCGAAAGTCAACCACCAGCTCCTTGGTTTTTCCGGCATTAATCTGGAGGCAGTTTTGCTGACACCAGGCCACAAAGTTCTGGTTTAGTTCTCGGTACTCCTTCTCGTCTCCGTTGTTGATGAGACTGACGATGGCAGAGTCATCCAAGAACTTTTGCAGGTGGCAGTTTGATGTGAAGTGGGTGAAGTCGGTTATGTAAATGGTGAACAGTAGAGGAGCCAGAACAGTTCCTTGAGGTGCCCCCATGCTGCAGACCACCATCTCAGATATACAGCCTTTCGTCCTCACAAACTGTGGCCTGTTGGTGAGGAAGTCCAGGAGCTATGACGTCAGCTGGTGGCACACTCCTATGTACTCCAGTTCTGGCTTGATGGTGTTGAAAGCGCTGGAGAAGTCATAGAACATGATTCTCACAGTGCTTCCAGGCCTCTGGAAGCTGGAAGGATAAAATGAACAGACTTGAAATGTTAAAACAAACCTTTACAGAAAGATTTAAAGATTTTAATGTTGAAGAAAACCTAATATACACTTAAGGTTATGTCCCTTCTAAGTTTTTGTTTCCAGCAAGATCAGGAAAGTTAATTTTAAAACTGTATATAAAATGCATGTATGTGAATTTTATTTATTTATTTTTTTAAATTCATTGAACTAGATATTAATTTAAGCAGTCATACTTTTGTCTCTGCTTCTCTTCGCCTGCTTATTGGAAGGACATAGATATGTTTATTCTTTCACAATTATGCCTAAAACACTTAAGGCACTAAATTTTAGTGAAATAAAGACTTGAGCTGCGTGACAAACACTTTATAATGTGTAATGTAATTGTCAAGCTTGACACAAGATTCTATAAGTCCTTCCCAAACATTAATACTTTTCTGGTTGAATTAGTTTTGTACACACTACAACACATACACTTTCATATTTAAAGAAATAATTTTGAAATATTGGCTATTCACTAAATGTATCTTATTTACCAGCATTATGTTACACATGTATTAATTTTATGTTTTTTTAATGCAATTCTATTTCTTAACTTTCTTGTGTCTTTTTTAATTGATATCTAATTACTTTTTTTTACATTGAAATCTTGGAGTGCACAACTGTGTCCATCTTCTGCTCACCTGATGAATGTCTGTATGCGAATAGTATTTAAATAAAATATTAAAGTGAAGTAACAATGATCAGAATATATTTTGGAGCAGAGAAGGACTTTCAATTATTTCATTGTAATTATTTTTACCTTCAGACCCGGACGGCGAACCAAACCGGCGACCAGGTGACAGCCGAGCGGAACAGCAGGACGGCGAGGACACTGAACCATGTGGCTGTGGGGCTCGGTATCGCGTTCTTCATCATCTGCCTTTGCATTGTGATGTATGCATTGTGATGACGTTTTCCAAATCTGATGCTTTTAAATGTCAGCCTTAGCAGTCTTAGTGATGCTCTACCATGCATGCAGTCTTCAAATGTTATACAAAGAGAGCTTCATATCACCATAAAGTACCTTTTGGTGTCCTCATCAGAATCATTGTTATCATTAAAATAATACAGAATAATGAAAAATGTAGGTGTTATTACACATTCCCATACATTGACACACACATCAGCTCAAAGACAAATTTCTTCAAGTGTCTTTCACTAATTTTATACCATTTTCTTTGGTTGAGTGTATCTGCTGTTGCCATGTCCCACACTCTGGTCTGATAACTTCATGTAATAAGACATTAAATGACACAAAATGAATATACGTTTTAAATGTTCTTGTCAACCTTACCAAATTCTTGGGTAAAAGAAGACACATTGATTTTTTTTTCTCGCTCTATAATTATATTCACCATTTTGTACATGTCCCTCAAACTAAAAATAAAATAAATGTGTAAATATAAAGAGGAATAAATAAACAAATTTTAAAAAACTAAAATATCGAAATTTAAAGGTACATTTTGTCTTTGCTTTTCCCATTTCCCTGTTTCTTCCTGTTGTTTTTTCCATTTTGTATTTGCTTTTTCCTTTTGCTTTTCCTCTCTGTCTTTGTCTTTTCCTTTTGGGCTTTCTGTCCAGGTGAGTAGTCAATACCTGATCACAGGATTCCTGCTTAGCGCTATAGCTCCTAGTGCAGTTGAAGGGAAGTGACATCACTTTGGCGCTGAGAGGAAGTACACACGGCGCAATTTGTAAATGCACGAACCCTTCTCTCTGTTTGAACTCTGTGGCGTGATATGCAGAAGTCAGTATCTAAGTTGCTCAGAGAAGCCGCTGACAGGCTGGATGAGCAATCACATCCAACCACCGCGTCGCCAAGGCAGTCAGATTCAACGCTGTTGCCCAGAGACCCCGTTGATGGTAGTTCAGTAAAGTTGGAAAGACATTCAAAGACTTGAATTTCTGGCATCAATAGCTTCAAAGCAAATTGTCCTTTTTAACCCTTAGAGGTCTTGGCCTGTTTTGGCCGTTTTTGCATTCTTTTAGTTTTGTCTTTATGTACCACACAGAAACATGTTCACCATGTCCATGTTTGGTATCTCTTTTGTCAGCCCAACATCATCTATATGATCTAACTATTATTTTTTCACTTTAACCAACTATATTAACATTTTGGCCTCACAAACACACAAAAAACGAACAAAATCTGATTTGAAGAAATGTATTATTTATTACAATAAAACCACAAACATGCTTCAGAAAATATTTTGAAAGTTGAAAACGTCACCATGGGTTGCAGATATGAAATTTGAAAAGGTACATTTGATGTAAAATCAACTAAATACAAATATTTGCAACTATATACAAAGAAGCTTTCTTGTAGCTTTCTTTCTGTTTTTATCGATGTCACTCCAGAAAATAGTTTCTGTTCAGAATGAGGCAGACAGCCACATTACAGGACCTGCACTTCCAGAGACTGACTTTCACTTTCGTTTTGTCCGTCACAAAAAATGACGGAGAAACGGAGAAATGCGACGTCTGCAGTCTATATTTCATATACTTATATTTTACACACGTTTTTTGGGGGTTTTTTTCCCCACGCAAGTTCATAACATCATATCTCTGGTTTTATATGTTCTATCGACATGAAACAAAGGCTGGGAGAGAGTTTGAAGTCTGTGCTTTCGAGAGAAGTTTGGCGGCATCGTCGTACATGCGCTAGTTTTTCTGTCGTGACGTCTCGAAAATGTCATATAATTATATCCCGCCGGCGTTTGAAACAAATGGCACCTCTTTCCAAAAGTTGTAATGCAGACCACAACCTACAACCGGCCAAATTTGTTGTTGTTGTTGTTGTTGTTGTTTGTTCCAAAATGAGACGTCCTCCGTTCTTTATATATTACATTGATCTTTACGTGCAGACGGCAGCTCAGGGACCGTCAACAAATTACCAGAGCAACAGGAAATGCTTTAGAAAAAAAAAAAAATCTTATTATTTATTCTTTGTAGACACCAAACTCACATCACACATCAATGAGCTTCCTCTGGTTGTACTACAATGCTTAGATTTAAATAACGTAATTTTTATGAATACATTTACAAACCTCCATTGTTTTTATGGCCTATTAGTGAAAAGATGTACAGTCACTTTTGTGATTTTATGCAATGTTGCTGCATTTTTTTTTTTGTAATGAGGTTTCCAAATGATATAAAATATGTGATCTGATCAAATTCAAACAACTATAATCCTGCTTGTTCTCTGGCAGAGGTAGCTGCTCTCACCTGTTCTTCATCTGATCTCAGTCCACTGCTGCTGAGTTTGCATCCAATGCATTTTTTTTCATTTGTCTTTATAACACACTTGGTCTTGTTAAGTTTCTGGCTGTATTTCTTGGCCTTTAACCTGCATCATTTGTTGTAAATGTCCTGCAGGTTCGGGAGGGTGGTTCTAATGGTGCGCTCAGCCGAGCAGACCACCCTCTTCAGGGCCAAGAAGTCCAATTGGGTGCTACTGCCCATCCAGGTGGTGATACTCCCAGCCAAAACACTCTCAATGGTGCAGGTGTAGAAGTTCCTGAGCACCTTGAGAGGGAGCTTGACTAGTACTTGAAGCTCTCCACTCGCTCCACCTCTGTCCCGCTGATCCTGAGTGGGTGGTATGCCCTCTGCTGCTTCTTGTTATAGTCCACAATTAGCTCTTTCGTCTTGCTGACATTCAGGAGGGGGCAGTTGTCTCTGCACCAGTCCTCCAGGTGGGTGATCTCCATTAAATAGTCCTCGTTGTTGTTGGAGATCAGACCCACTACTGCTGTGTTGTCAGCAAACTTAATGATGGTGTTAGAGTCTGATGTGTCATTCGTGTACAGTGAGTCTGAGGTCCTGCAGCTTAGTGACCAGTCTGGAGGGGATTATGGTGTTGAACGCTAAACTGAAGTCCACGAACAGTATTCGCACATAATTCCCCTTCCTAGTGTCCAGATAGGCCAGGGATGTGTGTAGCAGGTGATTTATGGTGTCGTAAACTGTGAACTGTAACTGTAAGGGGTCCAAGGAGGCAGGTAGGGAGGAGGTGATGAAATTTCTGACCAATCTTTCGCTGTCTTCCTATGGAGGTGTTAAATATAAAACACAACTTTGAGCTCTCAGTATCAAGTTTTGTATGCCAGAAACCCTGATTAGCATCTAGTACAGCATTTGGCATACGGGACACTACTTCCTCAACAGTGAACAATGGATGGTGCTCCCATTTGATAGCCTGATTTAAGTCCTTTGGGTCCATGCAGACACAGATTTTCTTAGGCGTGACCACAGTTACCATGCTAATGACCCACTCAGTCGGCTCAGTCTGCCTGGCTATCGCTCCCAATTTTTCCATGTGCTGTGGTTCCTCAACTACTAAGTGCTACTGCTACCCTTCTGGTTGCATGTACAATAGGGTGTAACAGTGTGGTCAATCTGTACATGGTGCTGAGCGGGTAAACATCCTGGTCCATCAAAGGGATCATCATAGTCTTTCAGAATGTCATTTTCCTGTCCAACATCATGCATTCTCTTCACTAAGCCTAACTTCACACGAGTGGCTCCTCCCAGTATTGCTGGAATGATCTTTCTGTGTGATTTCAAACTCAATTTTGTGTTTTTGTCCTTTGTACTCACATTATTGATTTATTTCCCACTGGTGCCATCTTTTGGCCAAAGTATGCAACCAGTTTGCTTTTAGTTGCTCCAAGTCTGCCTCTAACATTGAGTGCTTGTTGTTTTGAATGACATTGCATTACAGTCTGCACCTGTCTGACCTATTGCAGGACATTTATTTGTTCCGTGTTTAAAGCCACATCTACTGCAACTTGAGTCTTTTTGATCATGCTTTGGTGCATTGGCTTTAGGTGTGTCGTCCTTTTGCTTAACAGTTCTTATTCTGTTCACTTCTACTCCCTCTGTCAGTGCTTTAACCTGACTGGATGTAATCTGACTTGCACAGCAAATGTCAAATTGCTTTTCCAGAGTTAAATCTGCTTCTCTGAGGAGTCTGCCTCTCACTTGGTCATTAGTTATGCCACAAACTATTCTGTCACATACCAATGAGTTGTGCAACTGTCCAAATTCACAGTCTTTGGCTTTATTTTTTAAATCAGTAACATATGCATCAGTGGATTCCAACTGTTGCAAGCTGGCTGGCTGGCAGCAGTGGACAAGTCAGTACTGCCAGGCAAGTGTAAAGCTTGGATCTACCAGCACGGCATCTTGCCCTGACTGCTTTGGCCACTGCTGGTCTATGACGTGCCAATCACCACCGTTGAGTACTTTGAGAGGAAAGTCAGCAGTTTCCTGCATAAGTGGCTAGGCCTACCACGAAGCTTAAGTAGCATCGCCTAGTATGGAACAAAGAACAAACTGAAACTCCCCCTCAGTAGCCTGACATAGGAGTTCATGGTCAACCGTGCAAGAGAGATGCTACTGTACAGAGACTCCACAGATGCCAAGGTCTCCTCAGCAGGCACAGAAGTCAGAACCGGCAGGAAGTGGAAGGCACAGCAAGCAGTCGACCAGGCTGAGTCACGACTGCAACATAACAACTTGGTGGGCACAGTGGCATCTGGACGGGCAGGCCTCGGGAGCAATTCAAGACCTCGCTTCAACAAGGCCCGGGGAAAGGAAAGGCGCCAGCTGATCCAAGAGGAGGTCCAAGCAGGGGTGGAGGAAGCCCACTGCATTAGGACAGTGGGGATGTGGCAGCAGGGGGCATGGACCAGACGGGAGCAGGCAGCAGAACGGAGGATATCGTGGACAGAACTGTGGAAGTCTGAGCCACTCTGGATCAAATTTCTTATCGAGTCCATCTACGATGTTCTCCCTAGCCCAGCCAGCCTCTTCCGCTGGGGCCTAACAGACAGTCCAAGGTGCCCACTCTGCCAGAAAGGAGGACCACTGGAGCACATCTTGAGCTGCTGTCCAAGAGCTCTGGGAGATGGGTGTTACCGCTGGCTAAGTGCTGAAGGTCATCACTGAGATCATCAGCACAGGGATCATCAACAGCAGACACCAGCAACTAGCAAGGCAGAACATCGCCTTTTTAAAAGCCGGGGAGAAGCTGTACCAGCACATGAACCAACCCGGGGGGCTGCTCGCAACAGCTCGGGACTGGCAGATGAAGGTCGACCTAGGGAGACAGCTCAAATTTCCAGAAAACATTGCAGTGACCACACTCAGGCCAGACATAGTGCTGGTGTCTGAAACATCAAGGCAAGTGGTCCTGCTGGAATTGACTTTTCCCTGGAAGACCGAATGGAGGAGGCCTTCAAGAGGAAGAGGGCCAAGTATGAGGAGCTGACAGGCGAATGCCGTAGCAAGGCCTGGAGGACTCTGTGCAACCCCATTGAGGTGGGGTGCAGAGGATTTGCTGGCCAGTCCCTCATCAGGGCCCTCAAGATGCTTGGAGTAAAGGGACTGCACATTAGGAAGGCTATCAGGAACATCACAGACGCCTCTGAAAAGGCGTCAAGATGGCTGTGGATCAAGCGGGGTGATCCGTGGACAACACAAGCTTCTCAGACACAAGTCAGGGCTTGATCAACCCTGGCTGGGTCGCCTGGGAGAGGGTGTATGATGCTCTGAGACCCGGAACACCCAATGACCCCAGGATACATCACGGAAGATGTGTCTGAGAGTTGCGCGTGTAGTGTATGTTAAGAACTAGCTGGAGGAATGCAGGCTGCAAGCAGGTATGAGTTGCAGGGGGGCCCAAGTGGCAGCAGCTCAGGAAAAGCAGGAAAGCAGGCAGGAGACAGAGCGGGGACCGACAGAAACATGAGGGATGAACATCTATGGTATGGTAGCATGTGGTGGAATGAGCAGGGCTTTTATTGCAGAAGGTGGAAGATTGAGTGCAGGTGAGCCGATCCCTACAGTTGTCTCCAATACCTGCAATCAAGCTGAGCAGGGCTGGAGTGACTGAGGGTGAGCAACGAGGAGAAAGAGACAGAGAGGAAGGAGAAGAGAGAAGAGAGGGAGAAAAAGAGGGAGACAGGCAAGGGCTGGGGGGATCCATCCATCCACTATCTATACCAGGGGTCTCGAACTCCGGTCCTCGAGGGCCGCAATCCTGCAAGTTTTAGATGTTTCCTTCTTCCAACACACCTGATTCAAATGATCAGGATCGTTATCAGGCTTCTGCAGAGCTTGATGAATAGCTGATCATTTGAATCAGGTGTGTTGGAAGAAGGAAACATCTAAAACTTGCAGGATTGCGGCCCTCGAGGACCGGAGTTCGAGACCCCTGATCTATACACTGTTTAATCCTCTTTAGGGTCGCAGGGGGGCTGGGGTCTATCCCAGCTGACTTAGGGTGAAGGCAGGGGACACCCTGGACAGGTCACCAGTCGATTGCAGAGGTACACTTAGAGACAGACAACCAAGCACACTCACATTCACACCTACGGACAGTTTAAAATCACCAGGTAGCCTCAGCATATTTTTGGACCTTGTGGGAGGAAGCCGGAGAACCCAGAGAGAACCCACGCTGCACGAGGAGAACATGCAAACTCCACGCAGAAAGATCCCGGCTGTCCTCAACAGAATGCGAACTGGCGACCTTCTTGCTGGGAGGCAACGATGATAACCACCGAGCCACCTTGTAGCTTGTTTTGTTGCTGTTACTGTTTTTATCAATTAAAATGTATTATTGTGCAAAGGAGAAAATATCTTTCTGAAAACATGTGTTTTATAATCACTATGGTCTAAAAATGTATTAATTCTCTGTTGACTTTGTCTTTGACAGGGTGGACATATTTCACCAATTGTTTTTACTTTATCTGCTTACAGTAAATTCATTAAAAGTGTGGGAGCTTGACGGACATGTATTTACAACAGCCTACGGTCAACATGATACAGGGATATGAAGTTGAGTGGAAAATGTCACTTTTTGGGGGAGCAATCATGTCTCAAAGGCACTTTTTGGTGATATTGACCCCACTGGTACTAAAGCATAATCTGTTTTCCTGTCATTTCCCAAAGACACAAAACAATCATTGTTGCTGTTTTTGTTGTTGTTGTAGGATTACAATGGAAAAAGAGCCCTGTGTTTTGTTTTGCTGTTTTGTTGTTTTTGATTGAAAACAGGACAATTAAAAACTGTTTTATTGTTTTTTGTTCGTTTAAAACTGAAAGATGAAACTGGGCCCATCTTTATTAATTGTTGTTTTGAAATGGAAAAATAAAAAATTGGCTCATTCTGTTTTAATTTTTTGTTGTTGTTTTGAAATTTAAAAAAAAAAGATAATACCAAACCAGAAACAAAGTTTTATTTTCCACTTTGTTACATTTGATTTTTAATGTTAATGGACACTATGAAAACAGAAAGATGGGCCTGTTTTCTCTATTTTTATTGCTGGTTTAAAATGTAAAAAAAAAAAACAGGGCTTTAGTTTTTATTTCATTCAAACAGAAAAATTTAAAAAAAAATTGTTATTGTTGTTTTTCTTGTTTATTTAAAATAGAAAAATTAAAAATAGGACCAGTTTTCTGCTTTTTTTGGTTGATGGTTTAAAATGGAAAAAACAAAAGACAGGACTACACCAACCCAAAGAACAAGCTGTGTTGTAAACTTCCTCACATTTTATTTTCATGTCTCTGGACACCGTGAAAACAGAACAAAGGACCTTCAGTACTAAGACCCACCTCACCTGAACAGTTTCAGTGTTAGGAAGAGTTTTGATTTCCAGTAAATTCATCTGGAAATGTTGTTTATGGCCCTTCCTCTCCTGTCTCTGCCCCTCCCTGTTGCTCTAAGTGGTCCAGACTGTAATGAGGAGACACAAGTATCAAGTAGGATATTAGTAGCAGAAAATGACCAGAAATTGAACGCACTGGCATTTAAAAATAAAAGCCTAAAATATTTTAGGACCAATGACAATGTCTTCTAAATGTGCTGAAAACACTTTGAAAGTAAATGTTTATGAATTGCATGTGTTGTTTTGTTTTCTCAGTTGACTGCACATCACTTTTCTCTTATTGGGTGGTTATTTTCTAGCTTTTCATGTATTCTTCATAATTGTAAAATGTTTGGGGTTAATTCATATGTGTGTCAGTTTGAGTGTGAAGAGCAGCTTGCGTCTACATGTTCTCCAGTGTCTGTTGACATGTTTCAAGGATCTCGTTGAAAATTAGATGATTTATTTCTTAAATAGTTTGTCCTTGCAGCCTTCAAAAGCCAGTAAAGTCTAATTTGATCTTTGTTTATTATGAAATAAAACAATACAATAATCTTAGATGGTGTTCCACCTTTGTCTTACACTCAGGGAAGAGCTAAAAACTGTGATGTTCTCCTCTGTTCCATAACAACATGTTGAGAACAGAGGCTGAAATGTACAGAAATATTACACTGTGCAGATGTACTTATGCCCTGGACTATTTTTTGACATTCAAAGCTGAAAAAACACCCATATGCTGCAAGACTCTATGAATCAGGGACAGTTGGAAGACTTTTAAATTGCAGTAGGTCTCTTTGTATCCATTACCAGGCCAGAGTGCGAGGTGAAAAACTACAAAAACAGATATACTTGTCCCCACCTAAATGAAACAGAAATTAAGCACAACAACTGTACAGCCGTTTTAATCATGGTCGTATCAGGAAGCTGTTCACGCTTGGCTGCGTGTGTTTTAGTCAAAGACAGGCCAAAGAGTGACTGAAACTAAAGAGAGGAAGTGTTTAATTCACTATTTACTGATCGCCACCACGGATGCATAGTTGTACACTTGTTGAGTCAGTTATTTGGTGACAATGGATGTATTTAAACCGCTGAAACTTCAAATGTGTGGAGCTTAGATTTTGTGATGAACCCTTTTGTTTTCAGTTTGTCTGCTTGTGTTTTAGGTGCTGATCATTGGTGTTAACTGGGAACACCTTAGTTCAGTCTTTCCAAATCTATAAAGCTTTGGGTGCAGCTGGAGATCTCTCTCTCTCATTCTCCTACCAGGGTAGTTTTCTTTTGTTTTGTTTTTTTCTTTTTGCATTTTACGACACTCACACATCTTCACTCTCATGCACGTCCAACACTTCAAACTCCACAAGTTTTGTATTTAAGCAATCCCACTTTCTACAATAAATTACTTTGCAGTGTTTCTCCCTCTTTTGTCACGGCCTTGTAAGTGAGGTTGGCAACTTTTGTACTAAGCAAATATTTGCACACCTAATGCCCTGTGGACATTATTCACGGAACAAAGCAAACATAGTGTAGAGTGGGAATAACAGATGTCTTTATCCTCATGATGAGCAACATTTATAAGACACCGATGACCACATGTACGTTGTCTCATACTGTAGCTTTACATGACTCCATGCTGACTTGTGTTCCGTTTTGTTTGCACCTCCTGTGTTAATGCACAATATTTTTGTGACTGAGAGGTATATGGGTTAGTTTTATGTGACGAGTACACTGGTTGAAACATTATTTGTCCATTACATAGTAGCACTGATTTTCTGACACTGACACTAGTGTAACATACTATCAACACTCGTGTTAATTTTCAATTCTGTGCAGTACTGAAATAACTCAGGATGAGTAGAACAGACTTGACTTTTAGATTTTTAAAAGGCATTTCGCCTCTCGGATGAGAAACCTCTCTGAAAACAAACATCACAGACAGACGTCCAGGTGCTTTTACACTGAAGCTCTTAGGATTACTACGACCTGGATGACAGAGAATCTACACAGACTTTCACAAGTATTATATCAAAAGAGTGGACACATATGGAGACTTCTCTAGTGTCATATTTAACTCTCTCAGAGTTCATTTGTAATTTTGCTGTGGAGCCCTGCTGCTGATTTTACTCATAGCACTGCAAAAGAATTTGTTTTCTATTTATATTGTTGATCCTGAATGATAATAATAACAAACAAACTGATTGTCTCATCGTGTTTCACATTTTTGAAGATGCAGTGCATTCAAAAAAACAAACAAAAAAAGAATTGGTGCTTTTAATTTGAAAGAGGTGACCGGTAGGTTTCCTATTTACTCTGTCTGACTTGGTACTGATGGGAACACTGTGTTAAACCTCTGCATGTGAACAAACAGCGTGCAGGAGCAGCAGCAGCAGCAGCAGCAGGGTCGAAGTCAGGTTGGAAAAAGAAGAAAAAAAACTGGCGGTAACGAACAAATTGTCGTGGGAGTTACAGGAACACGGCGGTGAAAAGGGAGGTTTAGTTTTTCATGTGAGATTAAAGTTGCTGCATTATGAATCCCAGCAACACATCGAGCACTCCTCTACAGGACTGGACTGAGGAGAAGAGCCCCATGGGCCACCCGGCTCCTCCTCCCTACCAGGACGCCCCCTACCCCGGCATGCCCCCGCCAGGCCCTGGATACCCTCCACAGCAGGTAACCAGCACAGAAACACGCACAAAGGAGCAAAAAATGTCATCAAACATCACACAGTTTGGCTTTCAGTTGTGTTTCCTTTCACCTAAATGCTGCTAAACATCTGCATTTTAATGCAAAAAATAAAAAAAAACTGGCCTCCTCGTGTGTATCAGTGACATTGCATTCGTTTTCTTGTCTGTCCTGTTGTATTCTTTTATTTCCTGATGCAGTGCACCTTGTTTGTCTTAAAGATTTAAAAAAAAAAAAAAAAAAGTTTACAAAAAAGAAGAGTGATATGTAGGTTTTGAAATTATAACACATAAGGTGCTGAAAATGTCTCGGTCTTTCTGCATTTTTGGGGATTATTTTTGTTTTATTTTATTTTATTTTATTTTATTTTTATGTATGTATGTATTTATTGTGCACCATTTTGTACCTTTTCCGCCCCACTTCATGTTTTGAATGCCTTTGATCCTAAAAAAAGGAAAACCCAAAATTCCAAGCACAAGGTGACAATTTCAAATCCAGTGGAACATATTTTTGCAGTGACACTGTGTATCTCTTTAAAATATTTACTCTCCTGCAGATCACATTTAATCCTAGATGAGTCAACACACATAATGTTTATTTGTTGTCTTTTGTGCCTTTTGACCTCTTTAAATGTTCCACCTATTCACCCATAAATTAATTCAGTTAGACTTACCACAGGTCAACGAGATTTTTAGCTCAGGATCTTGCACATTCAGAACATTATGTACTCAAGAGACACTTCAGAGGCCTTGTTGCTTCTTAGAAGAACGATTAGAAATGGTTCTCTGCTTCTACTATAGCTCAACTGGTTGAGTTGATGACCCATGTACAGGGGCTGTAGTCCCCCGATGCAGTGGCCATGGGTCTGAATCCCTCTGCTGTTGGTCTTAAACTACAAGTGCTGATTTATCTTACTGATCTGATTATTTATTTGTCAGAACTTGTTAGGAAATGTTTTGATGTCATGTCCACGTTACTCCTCCAAATTGTCTGAATCCACTTATTTTCTCTTTGACAAACCTGCTTTGTTTCATCCAACAATGAGTCTGAATCGTACTTCCTGGCCTGCAGGGTTTTCCTCCACAGTACGGCGGTCCAGCATATGGACATCAGCCGTACCCGATGGTCCACCAGTATCCAGCTCAGCCCGGCACCGTCACTGTCCAGCCCACGGTGTTTGTGTCTGCGGGCCCTCTGGCCAACCCTGTCAACGACTACCTGGGCTACTCCATCTTCACCCTGCTGTTCTGCTGTCTGCCGCTCGGAGTTGCCGCCCTCATCTACTCCATCTCAGTGAGTTTCTTTAGGTTCTTTGTGGACTCTGGTGCGCTGACACCGATACACATTGCAAGATTTCTGCCAGAACCAGATCCATGTCAACTGAACAGTGGTTATTTAAAAAACACAACGGATATGATAAGAAAACCAGGCTGCATTTTTTTGAAGGCAACAACATGAGAGGCCTTTTTTGATTGCAGTGATGCAATTTTGAGATTTTGGGATGTTTTGCTTCCATAATGGGCCTTCTTTCAGACCAATGGAACATCCAAAATTTTGGTTTTTATTTTACTACACTGCTAATTTAATTTAGGAAACATATCCTAAATGGCTGTTTTCTCAAACAAGCAAAAAAAATTCTCATCGTCTGCTGGAAATCTCCACCTCAGCAGAACCTACCTGCACCAAACATTCTTACAGTTTACAAATGGGTTGTATTATTCATAGCCTGATTCCTAGAACATTTTATTCCTTAAAACATGGTGAAAAATTGATGTTTTCTTTGTGGTTATTGAGAGTATTTTATGATTTACATCATGCTAAAAAGAAAGAGGTAAAAAAAAAAAAGAAAAAGAAAAAAAGAAACCTAAATTCCTGTCTGGAAAACCCTTTGACATTAAACTGTCAACAAAATAAAATAAAAACTCTGATACTGGCTTCATCCAGTATCACATTTCTGTCCTGGAAATTGAAAATTGCAGCATTTTAGATAAATATTAGTTCATTTCTATGTTTAATCAGAAAATTTCAGAATACTTGTCTTTTTGAACATAATCAGCTGAGAAGGTTTTATAGTGATATTTATTAGTTTAAAATTGTAGTCTATTGCCTTCATCATAATAGAGAGAGAGAGATTGTAGTAAAAACAGCATAAATAGCTTTAATAAATGCCCTGACCAAATAATTGGAATAATCCAAAAGAGGACAGTGGCTCGCTTTTCAAAATAAAAGCCATAAAGTAACGTTGCTGCCACAGAGTGAATTACTGCGGATAACAAAAGATCATTTCAGTAGGACAGATACTGCAGTGGTAGTACAGTGGACTCATGACTGACCTCTTTTCAGCTAAATCTCTGTCACAGTAGCAACAATACAAATCATAGCTGCAGAAAAGATAATGGGGGAAACAGCAAAACCCCCCATTGTACACATGAAGAGGCAGGATTTAGTCAAGGCAACATATTGACCGTTTGCTGCTTTGACGTCAGCACTGAGCTCTGCTTGGAAGAAATTGGTGTTAATTTTCAACCCTCGTAAATAATTGAGTTCCAGGTTTGGATGAGGAAGTAAATGAAAATGCTGGGAAGCAAGGAGGCCTGTAAGAGAAGAGGAAGAGAGAGGATCATGTCTGCTGACAACCAGAGCCTCGGTTATGTGTTGTTCAGAAAACTCAGATCAGCGATAGAGATTTAACTGAGCTGAAAAGATCATGGCAGCAAACTTGAAACAGTGTAGGCTTTTTTCAATATAATCTTTATTTCTTGTCTCTTTTTTTAATACTGGTAATACAGTACGTTCTCCTCGGTTAGACTAAACATCTATATCATTTGCCAGTCATCACACGATCAAGTATGTTCTGCAAAAGTACAGCTACTTATTGTAAATCTCCAAATTCAATGAAGCAAAGTGAACCTTGTACAAATATGACACGGAATTCAGTTTTAATATTTGAGAAAGCTTTACATCACTTTAGTTTAGGATTTATTGTTTGCTTTATTTATTCTCCAGGTGTTTTTGTTGTGTGAGGCTACTCAGAAAGTTATTGAGCTTGTTCTCACACTGTCACTGGAGCTGTCTGGTGTCATGAACGTCCGGAGAACTTTGGTTGATTGTTTCCATGTGATCAGTGTTTGATCCTCAGCGGAAAATCGCTTGTGTGACGTCCGACATGCTTCTTAGATTAATTAAAGCCTGAAAATAACATTTGTTTAGCTCCAAACCCTTTGCTTAAAAAGTACGTTCACTGTGATTATTCAGGAGTGTTGTTTTTTCCCAGTGTGGGATAAATACTACAAAACCACTCATATTACCGATCATTTCATGTGATTTTGTTAAAATCCAACAGATGTGAAGCAAGATTAAATACATTCTTGTAAACTCATACAGTCTTACTGTATTTTACCTTCTTTTCCCTCCTAAAGTTGGTGAACTACACTGCGTTTAGGCTGTGAGCTGATAACAACGTACTGTGACATACCTTCTATTAGCAGCAGATGCTAAACTCTATTTTTAGACTGTCCACATTTAGCTGTCGCTGTTTATCTTGACGCTGGTAAAAACATGGAGAAGAGAGTTCCACAGTCATGCTATTTATGTGGCTGGTTGTGCATGCTTAGCATGTACGCTATATTAGAGCACAATGCTCTCGTTGTCCTTATCAAACAATCTGGTTGATATAAAGTCTATTAAAGAACCAAACTGTTCCTCTCCTACCACCAGTGGGACATTTCAATTCAATTCAGTTCAAATAACTCTATCTCCTGGGGGCAGTTCAAACATTTGACTGGTACCAGTCTGCACAATACTGTCATTTGTAGCAATAAACCTTATTTGACCTCTGCTTCCTCAACATGGACTCAGAATCCTTAAAATAGCAGTCATGCACACTTTAACTATCCGTAACAACAGACCAACACTTAAATAGCAGCACGTTGTTTTAAACCCAATCAGACTAAAAATACTTTATGTGAAACGCTTGTTCACGAAAACTATATTATGGCAACAATAAATGAAACAACATTGCAAAGCCTGTTTATTTTGTGGCTGTACCACTGAATCAAGTAGAAAATGGCAGCATGTCTGTGGATTATTGAGAAGAAGCAGTGACTCAGGCATCTGTATTGATCGGAGCTGCTGCAAGTGGTTCATCTGCACAGTCCTCCAGATGACATCAGCGAGATAAAAAGATGCTCTTTTCCATCAGTTGTAGCTGCATGACACAGCTTTGCAGCTCCAAATGGCAGCAACAAGTAAGCATGGAGCATGGAAGTGTATTGACCAGCTATGCCCAGTTTTTAAATGTTAAGACCAAAAGATATGATGTTGATCAGTGAAGCTTCTCTCTGAGGGAAGATGTTTTGCATTTCTGCTCTCCAATTTTTTGTTACTTATTGTCCAAGATACAGTATACACCAAAAAAAAGATAAATCTGTGATCGGGTGAAGTTAACTGTTGTTTGATAACAGTTGTTTACATTGTTTTATCATCGATCAGCTGCCAGAAGTTCCTGTTTTTAATGTTACCGTGGAGGTACAGGCAACATCATTGGTTAACTGTTGGTGTTGGAGAAAAAAGCTGAAGATTTGCTGTCATAGGGGGCATCTTACTTGAGTGAAGTCTGAACAAATTTATGAATATGTGGCTTCGACGTGCAGTGGAGATTACATTGTCACTAAAAAGACGTGGACAGTTTTTCAGTTTCCTTTAGTGCCATATTGCTTCTTTTGGGCTTGTTTGCTTCACTTAATGTTTTTAAATCAAAATTCTTAAGTAACATTTGAGGATTTATTTTATTTTTTTTAATTAAGTACATTGTTCATACAGGCAAAGCCCTGTACAACTAGAAAATGTGACGTACTTGTAGAAAAATATGTGATTATTTCTTAAAGTGTTTAAAGACATTTTGATAACTAATGCTGCAACTCAGACTTTAGCATTATTTGTTAATGTTTTCATATTTAGTCATTTAGATTAACTAAAGAATCCTATTATTTATGAAAGGCACACATTATTATCTATAATTTGCTTTAATGATAGCTAAAAAGTGCTGGTATTAGTGTTGGTAATGACCGTGTCTGGTTTCCTGTATTATAGTTAAACAACTGTTTCTCTACCTCCTCCATACTGAAGAATTTTCCAGACTAAAACATGGTCTTACTGCTGCATTTATCTGTGTGGTTCAGTGAGGAGACTTTCACAAAATAACGTGATGTTTAGCTCGTTGGAGCATCCCCCTAATCGCTGATGGGGTCATGGCTGTTTAAGAAACGAGGCTAGATCAAGCATGATCTCGAAACAAATGTCACTGTGACTCAAATTTGTGTTTAGTCACAGTCTGAACACTTGACCTTCCATATCTTCTTGGGTTGTTTTCTTTCTAAACTGTTACTCTGCCTGTACTTCCATCGTGGTTGAAGACAGTGGACCACATACTTTTAGATTTAGCTCATTAGGATATTGTGCAAATATTTTTCATGTGTCTCTACAATAACTCAGCCAGGCCTTGTAGAGTAAGATGCTGGAAAAGGAGACTGAAACACATGGAAACATTTCCCAGATCAAATTATCCTTCCTCAAGGGAACAGCCCCTTTTATTTTGATGTACTTTTTGCAGTTTCATAGCTACACGAATACATAGCAGAGCAGTGTCCCAGAGTCACTACTCTGAGGTATTTATAACCTAATGTGCTCTCAAAATACTTTATAATGTTGAAATCAGTGAGCTACGTAGGTTTACATTGCTGTTAGGCTGAGTACATCATACATTTTGTTGCCATAGCGGTCAAAAGCAGTTTTTTGCACTCCGTTTGTATCACGTTTCAAATAGCTGTTTCCATATGATTCCACTTCTTCAGTGTACAGCACAGACGTAGTGGGGCTAACTAAATTAGATTTGTAGTTTTTTTCTTGTTCACAGCTGTGTACATACTCTTAACAACTTCGTTGCTAAGTTGACAGCTGTAACACATTGCAGTTTCCATGATGCATTTCCACGCTATAAACAAAGATAAGATACTAATTAGTTGTGTAATGCGAGTTAATTCAGAGCTGTGGAGGCTGCAGGGTGACTGTAAGAGCTGATCTGCTTGGCACTGAGTAAAGCTGTGGGTTATGAGGACATAAGCCTGCCATTGTCTGCTTAGTTCGGTCAACTTTATGTTTTTCAAAATTACCCTGACTACAGGAAACAACTACAACAACATACACACTGAAAATGGTAAATGGAGGACTACAGGATTAGCTTCTCCTCAGATCTCTACGTGAATTAAAGCATGGCAGGAACCTTAATACAAATC